CAATTACGCTGGATGAATGTTAACATCAAATGGCACACTTCAATAACATATTTATGTGTGGGGAAACTGAAGAAATTGATCATTCAAGGCTGTGATAATTTGGAGTACTTATTCTCATCATCTATAGCTAGAGGTCTAGTGATGCTCGGTCAAGTTGAAATAAGGGAATGCAAGAGGATGAGAGAGGTTATTGTCACAGACAATGTAGAAGAAAAAGAGAATTTAATTTTTCCTCAATTGGACTTCCTATTGCTAAAAGACCTTCAAAACATTGTTGGATTCTACTCAGGGAATTGTATTGTTGAATTCCCATCCTTGAAGCAGCTACAAGTATTAAACTGCCCAGAGTTGGAAGGATTCATTGTTAAATATTTTGCAAGCGCAAATGTCACTGCCGACAAACAACCATTCTTCAATGAACAGGTAAATTTTACTCATTTCACTTGCATTTTGTCTTCACATTAGTTTAAGGAACTAATCTAAATGTGGCATGATGCATTCATTATGTAGGTTGCTTTTCCTAACTTGGAAAGTCTAACTCTCACCCACTTGAAAAACTTGGATATCATATGGCACAACCAATTTCATGCGGATTCCTTTGGCAAACTAAAATCATTAACAGTTAGAAATTGTGAGAAGTTATCCATTGTTTTTCCATTTGCTGATATGCTGGGAAGAATATGGAAATCCCTAGAGAAGTTAATTATATCTACATGTGGCTCGCTAGAAGTGGTATTTGGAATTGCCGAGTTCAATGTCAAACAAACACATGCCATAATAGACACTAAGTTGAGAGAATTGAATATTAATGATCTACCAAGATTGAAGTATGTGTGGAATAAGGATCCCCAAGGGATACTCACTTTCCACAGGTTGGAATCAATAGTGGTACAACTCTGTGGCAAACTCAAAATTTTGTTTCCAGCTTCAATAGGCAAAAGCCTTTTGCAACTTCAAAAGCTATGCTTAAGGAAGTGCGGGGTGGAGGAAATTGTCATGATGGGAGAACAAGGAACTGAAGCGGTTGTTAACTTTGAATTTCCTCAAGTATCAAGTCTTACACTTGGAGGGTTACCAAAGCTCCAACATTTCTACCCAGGGAAGTACACGACAGTGTGGCCAAGGTTAAAACAGTTCTATTTTTCCCACTTCAATCAAGTAAGGAGAATAGATGGCTGTGGGCAACTTGATTTTCCTGCACAACTACCACTTTTCTCCATGGAGAAGGTACAAAGCGTCTTACCAAAATAAATAATAAAAGAATTCCTTGCTTCAAATATCTATATATATATAATGGAATAGAGTAATTTTTAATAATCTACTATATATGGAAATAATATTGAATTGCAGTATTAATTACTTGTTTAGAAAGACCTGAATGCTTTTCTTGATAAAATATTATTTGTGTGACAAATCCATGTGATAATTTCAGTTATTTCTTTTATTTTGTCATTATTGTTTAGGAATCTTTCTGTTATTAGATTTTAGAGTATTTGTTATGTGAATGTGATACAACTAAAGCTTGCCACCCAAAAATGCAATATGGAGCAGTTTTTATTCCTTTTTTTTTTTTTTTCAGCAAAGAAAAGAGTTGTTTTATTCAATCAGTAATAAAAGTGTATTTGGTTGCCATGTGAAATAATGCACAATATTTTTTAATAATTTTCTCCTTTTCATAAACAAAATTAAGATATCATTAAGGAAAAGTATACAACTTACACAGAAGTTTTATTGTATTGGATTCCTTTCCAGGTCATCTCCCAATGGGAAGGATTGTCACTAACAAGACATGACATTGCAGTGATATGTGAACACCAATTTAAAGAAGACCTCTCTTTCAATATCAAATTTCTTAAAATTCATGGATATCTTGATAATGAATCAGATGTTTTACCTATCGAATTATTACAAAAATTTTGCCATCTAGAAAAGCTTGCCGTGGAGTTTTGTAATTTTAAAGAACTATTCCCTTCAAAAGGAGAAGTTGAAGAACAAGAGAAACACATTGAAATTGAGACACTGTCAAGGATTCAAACATTAGTTCTAACTGGCCTCCCATATCTCAAGCATATATGGAGCCATGACTCGTCAAATGTTCTTCAAAATCTTGGAACTCTTCAAGTTTTCATATGTGAGAGTTTGATTAGCTTGTCAACATCACCTGCCTCTTTCCAGAATTTAGTAACTTTGAATATAAGCAACTGTCAAGCAATGGTAAACTTGGTTTCAATCTCAACAGCCCAAAGTCTGGTGCAGTTAGAAAGAATGACAGTATCAGGTTGCCAAATGCTGACTGAAATAGTTGAAAATGAAGGAAATGGAACGCAAGATTTGATCATGATCACTTTTACTAAATTAAGATTTTTGAAACTTGAATGCTTGCCAAGATTAGAAAGCTTTTGTTCAGGGAATTTCTCCTTCAAATTTCCATCTTTGAAAAAGTTAATTGTGATTCAGTGCTCCCAATTGATGATCTTCAGTGAGGGTGAGCTAAACACACCACTACTGCAGAGAGTAGAATTAATTGAAGGAGAGGACAAGTGGCGTTGGGAAGATGACCTTAATACCACCATACAAAGAATGTATATGGAAGAGGTATGAATTGATTTCTAGATATTTTTGAGGCCACTCATTCTTTTTTAAAAAAAATTATTTGATTTATTTTTGGATTGTGTTATATATAACCAGTTTTGTTTTTTTGCACTTGCGTAGGTTGGATTTGCTAGGTTACAATATTTGGTGCTGTCAAATTTTCCCAAGTTGATGGAAACATGGCATATCAAGAACCCTCAACTGTTAGATTTTAGACAACTTCAGGTGCTGGAAATCTGTAATTGTAGCAAGTTCAGGTACCTATTAACGGATTCCATGGCCTTGGGCCTCGTGCAACTCATGCAGCTAATAGTAAAAAATTGTGGAACAATGGAACAAGTGATAATGGGAGAAGGAGCAAAATATAAAATGGAATTCCCACATCTTTGGTTGATCAATCTAGAGTCTTGCTCAGATTTGACAAGTTTTTATGTGGGAAGTCATAGTCTCGAGCTTCCAAGATTAAGTGATTTCATTGTAAAGGACTGCTCAAAGATGGTCACATGTGCTGCTTCTACATCCTCAGAAGAGCACGACAAAGAGGAATATCAATACCTCCTTAGCAGCAAGGTCAGTTTCTTTTCTTCTTTTCCCTTTTCTTTCTTTTTTTTTTTTTTTTTACAGCAACATGGTTTATTTTTTATATTTATTTTTTGTAATTAAGATTTTGCAGCA